GGACTCAGGTTACAGACTTTTTGGAGTCTCAGGCAGCAGATGAGGATCAGCCGGAAGTGCTCAGCCCGCCGGGTAAGCGGGCGAAAGCACGGCGCACACAATTTCGACGCAAGAGGCGGAGACTTCATGTGCGAATGCCGCAGAGCCTGAAGCTCAATTCGCTGCGCAGCCATCTCGGCTTGCGTGCGACCCACAGGAATGAGTTTAAGGAGCAGCAACGCAAGAACTACATTGCTTCAGTGCAGGCGCACTTTATGGATATCAAGAAGAGGCTGGATTACCTGGCCAATGCGGCGGAGCTAGACGATGCAGACGATTATGTGTTGTCCCGGCTGCATGACTTGTTAGCAGAGGTTGACATGTCCATTGGAGCGACGACGGTATCCCCGGCCAAAGAATTGGACCCACAGGTGCATTGGGAGTTCGACCAATCCCAGTTACGTAAGCTGTATAAGGCGTGCGGGCTGCCAAAGCGAGAGTTGGACACCATGATCAAAGGCATCTAGTCTGTGGCTTACAATGCGGCTGCCCTCACTTTCATAGTCTTTGACGATATCCGTTTCCGTCATGGAGTTGAATTCAAAGTGAAAGATGGGTCACAGCCGTGCTACAATGTCTACCCCAACAAGGATCCTACCTTCACTACGGTGCTCGGTGGGAAGGTTGATGACTGGGACCATGGTGGTATAACCCGCGAGATATCGGAAGCTGAGGCGAAGGGCTATTGTGCTATGCCGCATATGGTTTTTAAGAAACCTGGGTTTGTACCATTGTCAGTCAACGACTGGCGGTGTTGTATAAATTATAAGAAGCTCAATGGTACGTTGGAGTGTGAGGAATATCCTGTGCTTACGGAGCAGGAGTTCTTGTCATCGGTACGGGGCAAGAAGTATCGGACCATGGTTGATCCTGGGCAAGGATTCTGCCAGCTCAAGATTTTTAGCTTTAGCTTTATTTACCACAGCCTGAGAATAACCATTTCACCAAAGCGGCAGACATCTATAACTTAAGGGGTAATCTACCAGCTAAAATATTTGTGTTACTCAAATTGGCCTGTGTAAATAGTGTGTCAAGGATAAGTGACGTTCATAGGAGATAACTTGTGGATTTTACAGTAAAGATCTAGTTTTAGAAATTGCTGCTGCCGTTGCGGAGGGGTCTCAGCATCTCTTGACGTTCTGGACGCCTTGGGGTAAACGCACGTTTGTGGGTATGCCGTTTGGTATCAAGCCGGCGTCTTGGGTTATGCAGCAACGGATGGAACATGCTTTCCAAAGTGTCGACGGCTTTAAGGCCTATATTGATTATATGGGTGTGGGCGACAACGATGCTAAGAAACATTGGAAGAGCATCAAGGCCTTGATAGCCGCGTGCAAGAAGCATAATGTCAAGCTGAATCTGAAGAAGTGCTGTTTTGGTTTTTCCGACAGAGCAGTCCTGGCGCTGAGGCGGTTGGTGGATGAAAATGGCTCGGCCATCAGCGAAGATCGGATGGAGTACATCTTATGCATGGCCCCACCCACAGAAAAGGACCTCTTAGCGTCTTGGTATCACACCATAGGATACTGGAGTCAGTACATTCCGGATTATTCCAGGATCATGGCACCTATCTCGGATCTTAGCAAGAAGGATGTCCCTTTTGTCTGGGGCCCGATTCAGCAGGAAGCGTATGAACGTATCCGAGCTGAGGTGGCCAAGAGGGGGTTTTTGGTTGAACCTCAGTCCAATGATAAGCTGAAGATGTACTGTGATGCGTGCGACTCTGTAGGAGTGGGTGGGGGGTTGTTTGCTCGACGAGGGAAGAAGCTCTGCCCGATAGGATTCTGGTCGTCAAAGTTCAGCCCTGCCCAGTTAGGATACCACATCACGGATAAGGAGGCCCTTGCCATTGTGTACTACTTACACAAGTCATGGCGCATTGTCAAGAGGTCGCAACCTCCACTCACGATCTACACGGACCATGAACCGCTAGTCACGATGCTGACGAAGGACCCGCTGTCGTACAATTCGTTGGTGAGAGGTCAGAGGATGGCCCGCTATACCCAAGTGCTGAGAGACTTTGACATAGTACCCAAGCACATACCGGGTGTGTTGAATCCTGTGGCTGATGTGTAGTCGCGTTTGGGCTACCACATTGACCCGATCATGCAGGCGCGGAGTGCTCCGGTTGAGGAACGAGTCCATTGGAGTGAGCCGGTGGTGATGGAACCAAAGACGGAGTCCTATGCCTTGAATAAGAGTTGGTTTACCAAGTTATGGGACAAGTTTGGCCCAATCGATGAGGAAGGATTTGCACATCCGACCAACTTTCGTATGAAGCCGTCTTACCAGCCAACGCTGGCTGGGGGGGTGTTGGCTTTGCGCATATGGATGGGTACAAGTTGGTACTTCAACCCTAAGTGGTCAGATTTAGGCAGAGTGGTAGCCAGGATCAGGAGGGACAAGGCAACGGCTACGTTGGTTTGTCCGTACGCTCCTGAGGCGAGGTGGTTCAAGGAGATGGTACCCATGCTTTCGGGAGATCCGGTAGTGATCTACCCAAAAGAAGGTGTTTTCTTAAAACATGGCCGTGAGGTTATGCCTGCACCTGACTTTGTGACATTGGTGTGTCACATGAGTCCGTACAGACCGCACAAGTTGCGTAAGGACTTTTGGGAGAAGCTGGAAGCGGAGCGTCCTGTCTTCGAGAGGTTAGCTGCGGCGGCAGTAAAACGCGAGGATGAGGTTGTCTCCTGCATTGTGCAGGAGGACATAATGGATGATGACACAATGGGTGCTGTGACTCATCCGAGTGGTAAGAGTGTTAGGTGTGGGGCTCCCAGCAAAGACCGGGGTAGAGACTACACCTATCTCTGACTGCGGCAGTAAATGTGAGGATGAGGTTATGTTCTGTATGGTGCAGGAAGACACAGTGGGGGCTGACTCATCGGAGTGGTAAGAGAGTTAGGTGTGGGCTCCCTGCAGAGGAAGCAGGGGTAGAGACTACATCCATCTCTGCAGTAGGCGCTTTTTCCACGCAGTCCTGGCAGGATCCCAGCGGGGTGCTGGAGCAGTCTGTACGAAAGGGAGAAGCTCAGCTGGACGAGTGTGGCAAGTCTCGGGCTGGGGGGTCTTTAGGAGCTATGTACACTCGCAGCCAGAGTGCGAAGTCTCCGAAGCTCACTAGGAGACAGAGAGACTCGGCCAAGATTGTCGACACGCTGCCTGTTCAGGACGACATGGATCTGGATGAACAAGAGGTTCAGGAAACTCTTAGTGCTGAGGAACGTGTTAGGAGGGAGGCAGACCCAGTGGATGAGCCTGAGGAAGATGTGAAACGAGCACGGCTTCAGTCGATGAAGCGCTCGGACTTCAGGGTGGAAGTGGGGGATACAATCGTGGAACGGATTGTACGTTACACCCACGAGCTGTTTGCGCACGCAAGTGCCAAGCGGTTGGACCAGCTTGTACGCATGTTGTGGGGTTGGAGTGGCACCATGGAGATGTGTACTCGTGTGCGACAAAGCTGCGATCCGTGTCAGGCTGTGTCGGATGACCTGGGCAAGGAGTAGGGATTGCTCCAGCAGCCTCCTAGCCCAGAAGAGGCCATGCGAGAGATCAGCATGGACTTCATGGACTTTATGGACTTTGACCTGATCAACGGTCAGTCCAAGGTGCTATTGGCGGTGGACACGCAGACTCGCATGATGTTCGCGAGGGTGTTTGGTCCTAACGTGGACGGTCCGGCTGTGGTTCGCTTCATGGAGGAGCAAGTCGTAGCGTGGGGTTCACCGGCGCGGCTGGTGATGGACGCGGACAAGAAGCGAGCGTCGCAACATAGAACCGCACTGGATCACCGTGGATCGGTATCAGAGCAACGGGCGACCAGAGACCCTTATCAGGACGATGAAGGACTGGTTGCTCAGGGAGATAGAAGTGCAGATGATTCTCCGCAAACCTGGTTGCACCTGGTCTACGAGATGGTGAGGATCTACAATGCTACGCGTAATTCGGTCACGGGTTTCTCACCCTATTTCCATAGGACGGGCAGAGACTTCAACGGTCAGAGGCGACTGGAGCTACAAGATCGGGTGTTGTCGCTGCTGGAATCGGAGAAGGGACAGAGGCGATGATCCGCGATGCTGTAGCAGCAGTGCGGGACCGTCGTGTTCAGTTGGAACAGCAGACTCGTGCCAACATCAGGCGTGAAGATGTGCCGTTGTAGCCGGTTGGTTCGCAAGTATGGTATCGGTTGCGAGGCAAGTCACACGACCTGTCAGCAAGGTGGGGTGGCCCAGCGAAGGTAGTGTCAGTGCAGGTTCCACTCACTCATGTGGTGAAGATGGCGGACGGCACTCATCGCAAGTTTCTTAGGGCGGAGCTGAAACCGCACATTGGGAAACTCACGAAGAAAGCATATGCGAGGACGCCCATGCGTTATCGCCCGAATGGTCCGTACGAGGATTGGCTCCTATACCATTCGCCGCTTTGTGACAAGAAGGACGGGTACAAGCAGGCGATAGGACACTGCCTTCGTCGAACCAAGAAGGCGCGTACATGGTCTACTGCTATGAGCTCGATCTGGGGCAGGTGGCAGATGTGGTGTGACGAGGCGGACCTGGAGTGCTACACACCGTTGGTACCAGGGTCTAAGGGTAAGTATGTGCTTCACAAGCGATACAACAAGCTGTTGAAGCGCATGTTCTCGGATGAGAAGAAGAGGGCACACTTCAAACGCCAAGTGGAGAAGTGCTTTGCCTTTGCTCAGTCGGGAACGTACAGTCGGGGGCGCCTCCGGGTTTGGGGCGAGTTGCAGTTGTTCGAGGACGGGGTGGAAGTACCAGCTCATCGTTAATTACCGTAGTGAAATCCTCAAGGGTCAGGTAGGGTGGACAAACTTCACCTCCCAAATGGGGGTGGAGAGTAAACCTCTCTTGATGTGCACAAGATGTGCGCATAGGTAGTTTATTTATATATATATTTT